TCGTCCTCCTCCTCCTGCTCGTCCTCCTCCTCCTCCTGCTCGTCCTTCTTCTCCTGCTCCTCCTGCTCCTCGTCCTGCTCCTGCTCGTCCTCGTCCTCCTGGTCTTGCTCGTCCTCCTCCTCGTCGTGCTCTTGCCCCTGCTGAAAATGTAGCCCAGGAATGGGAGTTCTGGGAAATCGAAGAGCACGAAGTGGCCTACAGTTGGCTCCGGGCATTCAAAATGTGGCCCGGGAATGGAGTTCTGGGGACTCGAAGAGCACGAAGTGGCCTACAGTTGGCTCCGGGCATTCAAAATGTGGCCCGGGAATGGAGTTCTGGGAAATCGAAGAGCACGAAGTGGCCTACAGTTGGCTCCGGGCATCCAAAATGTGGCCCGGGAATGGAGTTCTGGGAAGTCGAAGAGCACGAAGTGGCCTACAGTTGGCTCCGGGCATCCAAAATGTGGCCCGGGAATGGAGTTCTGGGAAGTCGAAGAGCACGAAGTGGCCTACAGTTGGCTCCGGGCATTCAGAATGTGGCCCGGGAATGGAGTTCTGGGAGGTCGAAGAGCACGAAGTGTGTGACTGTTGCATCCGGTTATTCAGAATGTGGCCTGGGAATGGGGTTCTGAGAGGTCGACGAGCACGAAGTGTGTGACTGTTGGTGAAAAACGAGCCCGGCACAGGCCCGGCCGGCAACTCCCAACGCCTGCCCGGACCCCCCTGTGGAGTGATCTGTGAGCTCTTTTGAGTCAACTAGAAACCTATCAGTCTTCGCTGTTAGGTAACATTGATTTTATCTAGGTTTTGGAAGGATTTTGGCTTCTTGGGGGGGCCCAAGAGGCGACTCGAGGCACTCTAGAGGGGCAGCGCTAATTGGGGACCCCCCCTTCTTTGATAGATCTCCTCCAAGATGGCCCCAAGAGCGCCTCGAAGGCTCCCAAGAGCGCCCCAAGAGCGCCCCGAGAGCGCCCCGAGAGCGCCCCAAGAGGCCCCCAAGAGGCCTCCAAGAGGCCCCCAAGAGACCCCCAAGAGGCCACAAGAGGCTCCCCGAGATACGCAAGAAGCCCCCGGGACCGCCAAGAGGCCCCAAGGACGGCCCAAGAGGCCCCCAAGCTCGCAATTGTCCTCCTCCTCCTCCTCCTCCTCTTTTTCTTCCTCCTCCCTCCTCCCCCTCCCCCTCCTCCTCCTCCTCCTCCTCCTCCTCCTCCTTCTCCTTTTCCTCCTTCTCGTCCTCCTCGTCCTCGCAGTCCTCCATCTCCTCCTCCTTCTATTCCTCCTCCTCCTCCTCCTGCTCCTCCTCCTGCTCCTCCTCTTCCTCCTCCTACTCCGACGACGACGGCTCCTCCTACATCCTCCCCCTCTTGGGGTATATGGCGGCTCACCCCGCCCTTTGTTCTTCTGCATGCTCCCCCGCTTCCCTCATAACCTCCACTCCCCTGGGACTCATTTCTGGACGGGCTGGTGGGGATACGCGAAGCGTCTAGAATTATCATGGCCCCCGCCATGATATCCACCCCCCCCTAGTCATTACCCCCCTCTTTTCCGCCCCCGACATCCTGCCCAGCTTGTCGGGACGTATCCAGCCGTGGCGACGAGGCGCTTCCAGCAGGCCCGGGAAGGGACGAAGAGAGCCCAGGGAGGGCCGCCATGGCCTCGACTGGGCCCCCGCCGATCCCCGCGGCTCCCTCCCTTCGCCCCTTTCTTAACGGGCGAAGAACGGTATAAAATAAACTGTTTCGCTGTCGGGGGCGCCTGCCCCTGGGCGGCTGGAAAGTTTATACCCTTGCGGTGGCACCGTAGGGGTAAAACTTTCCAGCCGCCCAGGGGCAGGTGTCCCCGACAGCGAAAAAGTTTATGTTATACCGTTCTTCGCCCGTTAACCCTCGCCCGTCACTGCCGTCGCCGAGCGAGCGCGCCAGGGCGATCGGTGTGCCATCCCTCCGACGCAATCGTCTTGCCAGCGGAGGGGCAGCAAATATCGAAACCAGAAGCTTCCCCCTGTCTGCGAGGGGCCCAGGACCGCCCATGAAGACATTCTGTTAAGTGTCTGCGGCACGCTCGCCGGATACGCACTCTACGGGCTTTTTCTCGTGCCAGGCCGAAAGTCTGGCAGACCCCTTGCAGAGACAAGCTGGTGTTTTGTGCGCCACAATTTGCGCGACTGCGGCTCCGAGGCCGAGTGGGTCAGGACGGAAGCCGGGATGGGAGGTGATCCAGTCGAACATCCCCCCTGTTCCAAGCTACCTGGGAAGCCTAGGAGAATTGCCCCAACCTTCCCCGCGGCCCATGTCGATCCGAGTGCGATCTGCGGACTCAGCTGTCCTCATGGACGCATTGCCCCATTGGGCAGAAGGTCCAAGCCGCACTGCCCCAGTTTAGACAGAAATTGGTATGTGCAGGCTGCGTTGCTGGGAAGCCCCCACAGCGCGCGCCCTCGTTTTGCGCAGTGCTTGCCCTGACCTTGAGTGTAAACCACAATGGACGCTTGTGCCACCCGCGCTTCCCGCGGTAGTGACACCGGGAACTGGGTTAATCACCAGGACTACGGCGCCCTAAGCCATCACTGCAACCCCTCCTCCTCCTCTTCCTCCTCCTCCTCCTCCTCGTCCTCCTCCTCCTCCGCCTCCTCTTCCTCTTGCTCCCCCTCAAACTCCTCCTCCTCCTCCTCCTCCTGCTCTTCCCTCCTCATTTCTCCCTCCAACCCCCTCCTCCTCCTCCTCCTCCTCCTCCTCCTCCTCCTCCTCCTCTTCCTCTTCCTCTTCCTCTTCCTCCTCCTCCTCCTCTGTAGGGGCAAAACGCAGCATAAACATAAACTTTCGGCGGTCGGCGCGAATTTCTTGGATCGGCGGTGGACCCACCTCTCCAGCGCGCGGAGCGCGACAGGGCCGGCGCCGGAGGCGCCGCCAGGGGGGCCCTAGCGCATATCCAAGACGTCCTCGCGGGCCGTCGACAGTTTATATCTGAAGAAGTTGTGTTGCGTTTCGATCCTCCTCCCTGCCCTCACCCCTCCTTGTCCTCATTCTCCACGTCCCCCTCCTCATCCGCTTTTTTTTTTGGCTAGGGCTCCCAACTTCGCGCTTCGCGCTGCGCGAAGCGCGAAGCGCGAATAACTTCGCGCTCTCGCGCCGCCCTCCCAAAGGGAGAATAGGAGGACGAGGAGGAGGGGGAGAGGGAACGAGGACCGCGCAGCGCGAAGCGCGAATACCTTCGCGCCCTCGAGGGAGCCCCTGTTTGGGGGGGGGGGGGTACCCGCTGCCCGACGAGCTCGACAGCTCACAGTTCCCTTGCTCCCAGCCTCTCGTGCCGCGGCGCGGGCACGAAGGGCCTCCGAGCAGGGCAGGGGGGGGCGGAAGAGGCTCTCCAAGCACCCCGCCGCGCCACCTCGAGGACCGCCGTGGCCTCCTCTCGCCTGGCCTGCTGGGCCTGTTTTCCACCACCACCACCATAAGTTGGAGGGGGAGGGGGTCCTCCTCCACCACCTCCTCCTCCTCCTCGTCCTCCTCCTCCTCTTCGTCGTCCTCCTCCTCCTCCTTGAACTTATGGTGGTGGTGGTGGAAAACAGGCCCATCATGGCCTGCTCGTCAGGTTCGGCGCACGACACCGTCGCATTGCGCAGTGGGCGGAGGCCACGGCGGAGACGCCGCAGCACTTGTGCTCACTCGAGCGACTGCCTGTCTTGCAAAGTGCTGCCAGGCTGCGTGTCTTGTGCTGCGAGCACGCTCCACAGGCGATACAGAGGAACAATGGGAGCTCGTCGTTGGCCATTTGCGTGCTCGCGAGCTGGCGGCCATGCTCTGAAGCGGAAACTAACAACTCGCCCACGGGGAGATCCCCCCGTAAAAGACCAAACAGTGCGAGCACCTAAAACCCCAAAGACATCGCTCCCAAGAGTGCCAAGACGTGGCCTTCGCGAAGATTTTCCTCGGCCTTTCACGCTTGGGGGACCTCTGGTGGGACGCACGGGGAAAACACGGCAGAACCGCAGCAGCCAGCTTGGCCACCGTTTCAATCTGCCGCATACTGTGGTCCAACTGTTGGACTTGGCGTCCGAAGGACGCGCGTGAATCTCAATATCTTGTTTCGCCTCGATATCGGCTTTCCAATTCGCCTGTCCAAGCTCATCATACGTACGGGCTGTGGAAACACATCAATGTCCTCCAGCTTCCTAGGAGCAGGCGCGTGAACAGCTGGGGCAAACATGTGATCCTGCATATGGATCAGCGCACCTCGCCTTAAGCCTCCGTACTCCAGATTTCGCAATAAAAGGGAGGGGGTCTGGACCCTCCAAGACAAGCCATTTCAGACCTCCCCCGTGGGAGAACCCTCCATAACATCGTCCCCACACTCCCCCAGGCCCTCCAAGATAGCCTGGAAGAGACCCCCCCCGAAATGAGCCCCCCCTCCCTTTATTACGAAATCTGGAGTATGGGTCAGCGCACCTCGCCTTAAGCCTCCGTGCCTCTGCTTCGGGAGATCTGATCAGCTGGGTTCGGGCGTCTCCGCAGCGCCGGGGGCGGCGGCAGTCGTCGGCCATGGACGCCCGTCGCCCTCCTCGTCCTCGTCCGCGCTGCCGTCCCTGCCGCCGTCGACGACGCCAGTGCTGGCGGAGTAAACAGCGACTTCCGAAAACCTCGGAGCGCCGATCCGAGGAATTCGAGCGGACCTCTGATTTGTCTGCCATTGTTTTGTTCCCCTACTTGTCCTCCCTCTTTCGCCTGACACGCGTGACCCTGGGCAGGAGTGACCTTTGGTGCGCTGCTTTAGGGGCCTGCGGTGGGGGCCAGATCCATGCGCGCAGGCCGCTGCCATGGGGGGGGCCTTCGGGCCCGCACCATAGGTCACTCTGGCGAAGGGTCACTCTTACGCATGGCGGATTCCTGTCGTCGTCGACGTCGTCGTCTTCCTGTTTGACTTCGTGCTCTCCCATGCCCTCCTCCTCCTCCTCCTCCTCCTCCTCCTCCTCCTCCTCCTCCTCCTCCCTCTTCCTCTCCCAGGCAGCGCGAGCTCAGGGCGCCCGTCCTCGCGTCGTACGCCTCCTCCTCTTCTTCCTCCTCGTCCTGCGGGGAAGGCGGGCGCGGTTACGAGGGGTGCGGCGGGGAGGCAACGAGGAGCGAGGGGGGGCAGAGTCGCAGGGGTGGCCAGGGAGCGAGGGGGGAGGAGAGGCAAAGGAGGGGGGGGGGAGGAGAGGGAAAGGAGGGGGGGGGGAGGAGAGGGAAAGGAGGGGGGGAGGGAAAGGAGGGGGGTGGACAGGGGGTGGACAGGGGGGGCAAGGTGGGGAGAGCATGGGGGGGGGGCCGGAGGGCTGCGGAGACGGAGGGGGGAGGAAGGGGAACGCACCTCTGGCAGAGGGGGGGGGTGAGAACGACATGGGGCCAGATCGGCGACGGAGAAGGGGCGATCGCGCCGTGGTCTCCGCGCCATCCGCCCCCCCCTCCAGGTTCCCGCCCCTCCCCTCCGCCCCCAATTCTCAAACAACGTTTGTTTGGGCAGCGCTGCCGGAACGACGCACAATAGTGGTGTCAGGGAGCTCCGCACGAACGTTCTCGGCAACCTGCATTGGGGTCCCATCTGCGCCGCACCACTGCATGCACGTGCCATGCTCGCTGCCGCGAATGGCCTTCTCCGCAGCCCAAGCGGCTACAATTTTGCCAACCTCGCAAACCTGCTCCAACTGCCTGGCCTCATTGCGATCACAAGTTTTAGACGCCTTGCCCAAGGAGCCAACGAGGTTGCTAAACGGGGTGCCTGACTGAATCGACGAGGGAGCCCTCTCCATATTGGGCCATAACGGCCTGGGACGCATCGTTGAATGGGGGGGAAGGATAATGAGAAGGGAGATGAGGAAGTCAGGAAGGTAACCAGCGGAGAGGTATGAACAACATGAAAACTAGAACCACGCGCGCGCTTCGCGCGAGCTTAGGTTCTGTCGAGTCACAGACCCAGGAATCGTTGTGAGAAGAAATTGGTGACGCGAAGCGTCGTGGGGGCGTCCTTGGACGTCTAGGGTCTCCTGGGGCCTCTTGAGGGGCCTCCTTGGGGCCTCCTGGCGGCCTCTTGGGGCGGAAGGCTCGAGCTTGCGGTTCGTGGTCCCCCTCTGGGCCCCCTCTTGGGCCCGTCTTGGGGCCCTCTTGGGCCATCTTGGGCGCCTCTTGGGCCGTCTTGGGGCCCTCTTGGGCTGTCCTGGGGCCCTCTTGGAAGCTTCTTGGGCCGTCTTGGGGCGGTCTTGGGCGCCTCTTGGGCCGTCCTGTAACGTCGGAAAGCCCAAAAGACAACTTTGTTGAACATGTACGTTTTACAAAGGGAATGGGCCAATTTTTGCGTCTAGGGGCCCTCTTGGGACGCATGTTGGAGGCTTCTTGGGGCCTCTTGGGGGCGTCCTTGGACGTCTGGGGTCTCCTGGGGCCTCTTGAGGGGCCTCCTGGGGGCCTCCTGGCGGCCTCTTGGGGCGGAAGGCTCGAGCTTGCGGTTCGTGGTCCCCCTCTGGGCCCCCTCTTGGGCCCGTCTTGGGGCCCTCTTGGGCCATCTGGGCGCCTCTTGGGCCGTCTTGGGGCCCTCTTGGGCTGTCCTGGGGCCCTCTGGGAAGCTTCTTGGGCCGTCTTGGGGCGGTCTTGGGCGCCTCTTGGGCCGTCCTGTAACGTCGGAAAGCCCAAAAGGCGACTTTGTTGAAAAATGTACGTTTTACGAAGGGAATGGGCCAATTCTTGCGTCTAGGGGCCCTCTTGGGACGCATGTTGGAGGCTTCTTGGAGCCTCTTGGTGGCGTCCTTGGACGTCTGGGGTCTCCTGGGGCCTCTTGAGGGGCCTCCTGGGGGCCTCCTGGCGGCCTCTTGGGGCGGAAGGCTCGAGCTTGCGGTTCGTGGTCCCCCTCTGGGCCCCCTCTTGGGCCCGTCTTGGGGCCCTCTTGGGCCATCTTGGGCGCCTCTTGGGCCGTCTTGGGGCCCTCTTGGGCTGTCCTGGGGCCCTCTTGGAAGCTTCTTGGGCCGTCTTGGGGCGGTCTTGGGCGCCTCTTGGGCCGTCCTGTAACGTCGGAAAGCCCAAAAGACAACTTTGTTGAAAATGTACGTTTTACGAAGGGAATGGGCCAATTTTTGCGTCTAGGGGCCCTCTTGGGACGCATGTTGGAGGCTTCTTGGGGCCTCTTGGGGGCGTCCTTGGACGTCTGGAGGCCATCTTCAGCATCTCGGAGCCCTCTTGGAGGCCTCTTGGAAGTTTCTTGGGCCGTCTTGGGCGCTTCTTGGGCCGTCTTGTCTGACTGGGGAGGCCCCCGGCAAGCCCCGACGAGCCTCCGGGCCCCCCGGGGTGCACATTTGCGGTCGAGGTCCCGGCCCCGGGCCCCCGGACCCGGTGCGCCGATATATGTATATGAGGAGGGGGAGGACGCAACGACGACGACGGGGAAGGGAAACCATTAGACGGAAATGTGACGATGACGATCGAATGCGAACCATGCTCGGAGAGCGGTCGTATCACAACAAATTCGAATCCAAAACATAAGCGCTGGAAATAAAAATTATCAATAATCGCCATCGCGAATTCCTACTGCGGGCGCGCCGCCCTGACAGGTCGTCTTTGTTTGTGAGCTTATAACCATCGGTGTTATGGGCGCAACGATGCATATAAACAACGCAGCTTACGTTACAAGCACCACAGTTGCTGCGCCCACATATATAACCAGGCGGATGAATACAACTGATTACTCCTTGGTTCCGCGGTTGTAACCACATATGTAACCGAATTTATGTAACCAATGTGCGCGCTTGTTAAGCACGCGCGTTCACGTAATGCTCCGTTGTGCTTTGGTTATGAAATGTTATGTGTAGTTACGCTTTGGTTATGCTTTGGTTATGGTAGAGGTTATAAATGTGATCACGTTTGGATATGGCTTGCGCCAAAATGGCCACGAAGAGGAGGAGGACGGGGGAGGAGGGAAGGGAACAAAGGGAGGAACATTAACTACGAGGGCGACTGCGACGACGAGGACGAGGACGAGGACGACGACGGGAGAAGGAAGGGGGGGAGAAGTTCTTTCTTCCAAACCCGCGGAGGGGCCTCGAGGGGATCCACGGGCTCGGCAGGCCGCAAGGCTCCACATTGGCTGGTGCGTTGTTGCCCTCCCCCACGCTCGCACCAGGGATCATTGAGGGATCATTGAGAGATCATACCACCTGTTTAATATTTTTCGTGTTGGGTGCGTTGCTGCCCCCCCCCCCCCACCCCCCCCCCACCACACCCACGCCCGCAACCCCGCCCCGCCCCACGCTCGCACCAGGGATCGCTGGGAGATCAGACCGCCTGTTGATGTTTTTTTTGGTGGGTGCGTAGCTGCCCCCCCCCCCCACCCCCACACGTTCGCGCCAGGGACCACTGGGAGATCAGACCACCTGTTGTTTTAAATATTATGTTTTTTTCGTTTGCTGTTGCATTGCCGTCCCACCGCGTCGCTTGAGACATCCTCGCCATCTTCCAAGATACCCGAAGAGCATCCGAGAAAGCCGCGCGGCAGCCCTGAGACCCCCTGGGCCCTGGAAGGTCGAGGACCGCAGTGGACCCGCACGGCAGAGTCGTCTGGGCCCTGCAGGACCATTGCCAGACCCTAGCAGGGCCCGATAGCAGGACTCCGCCAGCAGTACCTCAGCAGGACCGCAGCAGGAACCTAGCAGGTTCCTAGCGAGACCTTCGCAGGACTCTTAGCAGGTCCCTAGCAGGAATCCACCCCTAACACAGATCGTTGGGCTTGGACAGGACCCCTACGAACGCGTAGCGCCTCGTTATATAGTTGACGTCGTACCAGTAGACGAACTCAACAGACAAGCGCGCAGCGCCTCGCCGATATGCTTGCACCGTGAAGGAAGAGGGGAAGGAGGGATATTGTCCAAACGCACGACCGCCGCGAGTGCACATGGGAACTCTGGCCCGCCCCATCAGGCCAAACTGCAATGGCAATGCTCTACTGAAATTTCTGTTTCGCGCCACGGGCCAATAATACAATCTTGATTACATTGTATGGCCGTGATCCGCCCAAACTCATGCCCGCGGGCAACCCTCACTACTTAATGTGCTGGTTCACCGCCTTCAACGCGTCCTGCGGCGAACGCACTTTGAAGCTGAACGCTTTGTCGTCCTTCTCCCCCGCCTTGGAACACCCTGAACGCATGCGGCGACGTGTAGATGCGCCAATTCTTAAAGTCCGCTAGCCCCTGCCCACGTCTAAGGCCCCCCCCTCCTATCCTCGCGTTCCCTTTTCCTCGTCCTCCTCCTTCTCCCTCCCTTTTCTTCGCCCCCGTTCCTAATCCCACAAGAGGCCCCCAAGAGGCCTCAAGATGGCCCCCAAATGGCCCCAGAGAGCCCCGAGACGCGCCAGGCCCAATACGGGCCTAAGAGCGCCCAAGAGCGCCCCAAGAGCGGCCCAAGGGGACCCCAAGAGCCGACTTCTCGGGCTCCGGGGAGGGGCGTGATAAGTGCTCGCCCCAATTTTGCTCGATGGCCTCCAAGATACGCGAGACCACCCAGACCCTCGCCCCCGGAGGTCCCCAGGAATCCCCAGGCCCCAACAGCGCCCCAAGAGAGCCCCAAGAGAGCCCCGAGAGGGCCCAAGAGAGCGCCGAGAGGCCCAAATCCTTCAGAGGCCTAAAAGAGAATCAACAGAAAGAAACTTGGATTTGGGAGGAACCTGACCTGACAAGAACGGGAAGCGAATGTTCGAACTTTCGTTGCTGGTGTGGCATCACATGGGGACGTCAAAACTGGAACGCTTGTGCGAGCAGGAGTGGACTGCGCGATGCCCGGGTCAGGGATCCCTCGAAAATATACGACGCTCGCGCTCCCGAGGCGCAGATCCCTCGTAAAAAAGTACACGCGATACGCGCCTCCGAGGCCACGACCCATTGCAACGCACTTTGGTTCATGCCTCGGCGACCAGGACCCACAGAAGTGCAGCCAGATTCACGCCCTGGAACCGCTATTACTTGTATTGTGCGCAAGCGGTCAGTTACCACGCGGCCCCCGCGTCCACCTTCAAGATCCCGAGCTATCCGCCGTCCCCTTGGGGTTCGGTCCGG